CAAGTTTGATCGCAATCAAATGATACCTTTTGAACCTCCACCAAAAGTTTAAAGGCCTGATGGACGGAAGAGCGTTTCATTTAGTAACAAACAAAATCATTTGGAATTTTAGTTTCATAGTTTTATAGTTTCAAAAAGGAATAGCCTGTCAAAAATGTATATTTTTCCTCTCGGACACCAATACATTTACAAGGCCAACCTCGCACGCGAGATATTACCCTTGCTTAATATTGTTTTGATCCTCGGACCTCTGGGTGATGGGCCCAGCACGCTTCCACTGCGCCAGTCTGCTGCTGACGAGCAACTGAGGATTTACAACCTTTTTTAATCGGTTGCTCTTACTAATCTACTTTATATGTCACATGGTCCTCCCTTGTTCTTTGTTTATTAAAAGCGTGTGTGTGTGTTCTTTTTTTTCTTCACCGTATCCTTAAAGCCAAACTGAAACGATGCTGTAGTTTAATCCTCGTTAAATCTTCTTCACAGAGTTTTTAATCGATATTTTGCGTAGCGGTATGTTGACAAGGTAGTCGTGGCCGAGTGGTTAAGGCGATGGACTTGAAATCCATTGGGGTCCCCCCCCCGCAGGTTCGAATCCTGCCGACTACGATAAACTGATGTCTATTTTNCGGTATGTTGACAAGGTAGTCGTGGCCGAGTGGTTAAGGCGATGGACTTGAAATCCATTGGGGTCCCCCCCCCGCAGGTTCGAATCCTGCCGACTACGATAAACTGATGTCTATTTTCGTTTTGCACAGAGATTGTTTTTATTATTATTATTTTATTCGACAATAAGTCCGAACGCATTAAAATACGGTAGTAGTCTGTAGGGAGACCTGAAGCACGACAACGCCAATCATTTTTCAAAAACCATCTGAAGTTTTAGCTTCATAGGACTTGAAAATTTAAAATCAACAAAGCATACCTTGTCGAAAACTTATTTTTTATTCTCGGAAACCAATGTCTTCACAGGGCGATCCTTGAACCCATGATATCATTTTTCTCGCTTCTTGCCGATCCAAGTGCGTTCTTCCGCGTTTGTCTCCAATTGCATGGTTTTCCTTTAATTTGATCGGTGCAAATTAAGTAAAACTGTCAGTAAGTTAAATGCCTTTAAACATTCTTAGAGGTAAAAAAAAAAAACAACTACTAACAGAGCGAGGTTTTGATACTCGGACCTCTGGGTTGTGGTCCCAGCACGCTTCCACTGGGCCACTCTGCCACTGTAACGAATACTACTCTTTGTTAACCTCATTCACGTTGTCTTGTTAAAAAACTCTCTTTGTGAACGCCTCTTTTGTACTTTTGAACGAGTTTGAATTGCAAGGTAGTCGTGGCCGAGTCGTTAAGGCGATGGACTAGAAATCCATTGCGGTCTCCCCGCGCAAGTTCGAATTCGTCCGACTACGAAGAACGGACTGTCTATCTTGGCTTTGCATAGAAAATGTTTTGATCATTTTGTGATAAATAAGTCCGAACGCATTATACCTTTGAGTGTCCGACGGGAGCAGGAAAGCACGGCACGGCTCTGCATTTTGGCAACATAATCTGAAGTTTTAGTTTCATAAGACTTGAAAATTAAAACTTGAAAAGCTACACCGTGCCAAAAACTCGGAAACCAATATCTTCACAAGGCGATCCTCAAACACAGGGTATCATTACCCTCGCTTCCACTGCGCCACTCTGCTACTGTAACGAATACTACTCTTTGTTAACCTCATTCACGTTGTCTTGGTGAAATATTCTCTTCGTGAACGTCTCTTTTGTACTTTTGAACGAGGTTGAGTTGCCAAGGTAGTCGTGGCCGAGTGGTTAAGGCGATGGACTAGAAGTCCACTGGGGTCTCCCCGCGCAGGTTCGAATCCTGCCGACTACGAAGAACGGATGTCTATTTTGGCTTTGCACGG